CACGGGCAATGGATTTGCGAACAACTCGGATCTTGGAGAGCTTGGACGCCGCGCCGCCCGTCACTTTAGCGACGCGCAGCTGTGACAGCTCCACCTTCAGGTCGTCTAGCTGTTTCAACAACTCTTCTTTCTTCTTGCCTCGAAGATCCCGAGCCTTAATCTTGGCCATAGTTGCAAAAGAAGGTGCCGCCGCCGCCTGCTAGGAGAGAAAGAGCAATAAATAAAAAATTAAAAAAATGTATAGAAAACCAATATTGAAGATTTTTAAATACCGTAATTACCACTTAGAAGTACTTAAATTTATTTATTTGTTTTAGAAGTACTTAAATTTATGATAGTGAATTATGGCATGGTAAATCAACATTCTGTGGAAAATTTTCTACTGTAATTTTTGAGGGAGCTATGTTTTTCAATTCCATAATATAATTATCATGATTATAACTTTGATTTGAAATATATTGATTGATTATATAATGTACTATATATTCTTCCTACAGATGGTGATAAGGTACTTTCATGTATATATTCCACATGAACATACAGAGAACTATAGACACTGAACATTAATCTGTACATACTTCTGGTTAAAGATATGATCTTGTTACTAAGCTGTGGTTTATGGATGATATTAAAGTAGTAGAAAGTATAATTGAGAATGTTACTTTTCAACATTTGTAGATTGAAGAAAAATTAAAGACAACTATGTGTCTTACATACTATATATGTATATGCTATTAGGTACCTTTAAATGAATAAAACCAGTCTTGTGCTTAAAGTGTTTATCAAAAATGCAAAAAAGGAGTATATTAAACACAGAAAATATAACATGAAAATAATATAACTCTAAATTTATTTTTGGTTATTTATTATCTGCAATTAACCTTATTGATATATTTTAATTTATTATTAATTTTATTATTAATTTTATTGAGAAACAGCAATGAAACAGTTTCAAATTCGATTAATAAAACAGGTTCAATAATTAATACATTGCATATTGTTATTTTCTTAGTGGCTATTCATAGTACAAGATGCAGACATGATATCTTGTCCAAATACTATTAAGTACAAATCTTTCTTCTCATTGAATTAAGAGACAGTAGCTGTATATCTAGGCTAACTATTTTGTATATACAGATACAAAATGGTCCTTCCTTTGTATCCCTTTTTTTGTTTTGTTTTGATAGAGATGGATATTCTATTGACATTTAAGTATTGTAGGTGCATGAATTCAGCAAAAATAATCCAATATAGTCCAATAGTCCATAATAATAGTGGGTTATCCATAGGACTGGCAATGTCAGAAGTTGTTAACTTGAGCCTTTCACAGCTCAGCATATTAATATGGCTTTACTTTTTATACCTCATTTTTATACTTTTCTGCTGGATTGTTAAGATCAAGATAAAACAAGACCTATATAACAAGAAATGTATCTTTTGTATCTGATAAGGTCAGTCAAATCCAGTCAGGATTTATCCTGTTTCCCTGTACCGCAGTTTGCAGATATTTTGTCAGTGTCAGCTATTTGTATGAGTCATGGCCATTTCTTGACTGACTTGCTTTCCGTGAAAGTCTGAGAGAATGTTTTCTCTTCATGTGACTCTCCATTTACACCATCGGTCACTTTCCTCATTGGTCCCATAATCTCCTTGATCAGAAAATTTGGGACACTACTGAG